GCAGGTGCCCCCCGCCCCCCGCCCCCCGCCCCCGCTGGCCCTTCTCGCTGTGCTTTCGGGGGCAGAAGGGACTCGGGCTGAGCCCCCACCAGAGAATCTTGGGGGGAGGGGGCTTCCCCTGTAGCTGTTCTCGGGGCTTCGCTGGCAGCTGGCAGCTGACCCGAGCCATGCCACCCGAGATCTCCAGGCCCCTTCAGCCCCGTTGCCTCTCCCACTCCAGCAAGTCTCCAGACCCACCTTCTTCGCCCGGAAGTTCGAGTCGACCGTGAACCAGGAGGTCCTGGAGATCCTGGATGCCCACCTGTATGGCAGCTACCCGCCGGGCACGCCGGCCCTCAAGGCCTACTGGGAGAACACGTACGATGCGGCCGATGGCCCCAGTGGGCTCAGTGACGTCATGCTCACCGCGTACACCGCCTTCGCCCGCCTCAGCCTGCGCCACGCTGCCGCCACGGCGCCCCCGCTGGCCACCCCGCTCTGCAGGTGAGACCTCCTTCTGACCTGTCGCAGCCCTCCACGTGTGGGGAGGCCGGTCAGGAAGAGTCCGCCCTGCCCCCGGGAGTCCCCAGTCCGAAGCAGGGGGAGAGGCAAATAAAACAGAGCAAGAGCCAGGCACATAGGTGCTGCGGGTGTGAGATTTGGGGCAAAGTTCGCACCTGGGGATGGGATGCCCCAGAGCCCCCGAGCCCCCCTCCCTGGGACTCCAGGCCAAGTCGGGTGTGCTGATGGCATCTCCCTTTCTCCCTGCCGGAACCTTCTTAGGTTTGAGCCCCGGGGCTTGCCGTCCAGCGTGCACCTGTATTTCTATGACGACCATTTCCAGGGCTACCTGGTGACGCAGGCGGTGCGGCCCTCAGCCCAGGGGCCGGCAGAGACGCTTGAGATGTGGCTGATGCCCCAGGGGTCGCTGAAGCTGTTGGGGCGCAGTGACCAGGCCAGCCGGCTCCAGAGTTTGGAGGTGGGACAGGTCCTCCCCTTGCTTTCTCCTGACCCCCAGCAAGACTCAGGGTAGTGGGAAGAGGGGGACAGACACCAAGGGAGGGATAAGGACTGGGTCAGGCCTTTCAGGACTGGGTTCACGGGCCCTTCCTCCCCCGTGACGGAGCCGGTGTCTGCCCGGTGGGCGCATGCTGAGGAGCACCTCCCCCGCGGGGTGCACGTGCAGTGAGCAGGGAGGAGCCCGAAGTTACTCTACAACGCAAGCCCCGTCTTCGAAACTGCAGTGGTTTTTTTCTAGAGGGACTTTGATATTCCATTAGGCTTTGGAGTGTCGGCTCTTTCTCAGAGGCCGTGGCTTCGTGTGGGGAGGGTCTCTGGGCAGGGCCGCAAACCTCGTCTCTGCCTTACTGCCCCCACCACGACCGAGCAAGCCACAGCAGGAGCCTAGAACAAATCTCAGGGCGGAGAAAGATCTTAGAGAAATCCTAGTCCAAGCCCTTCATTCTGCAAAATGGGGAAACTGAGGCCCAGAAAGATAGAGTGACCGGTCCGAGGTCACACAGAGAGTTAGAGGCAGCACCAGAGTAGAGAGGACTTGCCCCCCAGGCTCCTGCCCAGCTGCCTCCCTCCCTACAGGTCGGCACCGAGTGGGACCCCAAAGAGCGTCTTTTCCGGAACTTTGGGGGGTTGCTGGGGCCGCTGGATGAGCCTGTGGCCATGCAGCGCTGGGCCCGGGGCCCCAACCTCACAGCCACTGTGGTGTGGATTGACCCCACCTACGTGGTGGCCACGTCGTACGACATCGCGGTAGACGCGGACACCGAGGTCACGCAGTACAAGCCCCCACTGAGCCGGCCCCTGCGGCCAGGGGCCTGGACTGTTCGACTGCTTCAGTTCTGGGAACCCCTGGGTGAGACCCGCTTCCTCGTGCTGCCCTTGACCTTCAACCGCAAACTACCTCTCAGGAAAGGTAAGGATCTAGGCCCAGAAGCCAGAATAGGATTCGCCAAGCAGGTGACCGGTCCCAAGAGGCTGACCATCAGAGCTGACCCTCAAGGGGAAGGGGCAGGGTTGGGGCCTGGGTGGTCTGTCCCTTAGTGTCCCCACACTGCGGTAGGGTAGTGAGGTAAGCTTTGTGGTCAGGTGGATTTGGCTTTAGGATGTGCCTCTGACACTTTAGTTGGGCCTTTGTCCTTGGCAGGTTATTGGCCTTCTGAGCCCCGGTCTTACTACGTGTAAAGTAGGAGGGATAGAACGATTGGAGGCCTCCGGGGTGTGTGGAACACAAGTCAACTCAAACCAGCTCAAGTAAAATGGGGAAATTATTGGAAGAATGTAGGGCTGTCCCCCAGAACCCAGGAAATGTCTCTGGTCCCCCCCTTGTGCCCCGGGAACCAGAGGTGCTTTCTCTGTTGTCTCTGTGGGGCCACCTGTCCCCTGTCTGTGTATCAGCCCCAGGCTCTGGCTTCTCAATACATGATACTTGGTCTCTCCGTGCACTGGAGACTGACCAGGGCCTCTTGGTCCCCAGGTTCCTCAGTCTTGGGGCAGCAGATTTGATGGGCCACCCAGTCCGTTGTGTTGCTGGGTGGGCAGGATCCCATGGCCCAGCTCACAGTCGGCTGAGGCTAAGGGAGCAGGCTCTGGACACAGGCATGGGCTTCAGGTTCCCTCAAGAGAGGCCTAGTACAACTACCCCCTGGGAAATATTAGAGATGAGTATGTGGGTAAACATGGTTTGTATGCAGTAGGTGCTCAATAGGTAGGTGATGTTTCCTTTCTCTGGCTACATCTTACCACAGAGAAGATCAGGAGTAACCCAGAGGAGGATGGGGTACTAGGGGGGCTGCGGCAGATCCCGAGCAGAGAAGCCACACCCCTGCTCCCCGGGGACTCTGAGCCTGATGCAGGAGATGGGGACAGGTGGAGGTCAGCTCTCCAGCAGGCCGGTATTGGAGCTGAGCCCTGAGGAGCTGGAATTTTATAGACAGAGAGGGCTGTTCTAAGCTGAGGAGACAAACCCCACAGGCATCTGGTGCATGGGGGGAACAGAGGGTCTAGGGGGTAGGAGGTAAGGGGTGGTGGGAAGGGCTGGCTAGCCAAGCGCACAGGGCCCCACAGCTGAGGGCCCGAGGGTGGGGCCTCTGATGGCTCTGGGAACCCCTGGGGGTGGCTGAGAAGGGGCACGGGGACAGAGACCAGACCATTATGGGAAAGTTACGTTATCTTCCAAAGTGCCTCGATCCCACCGTTCTGAATCCTCAAGGTGGGGATTCAGAGATTACAGTCTTGACTTGGTAAAAACAAACAGTTTTACAGGCACAGAAAGTTCCGTGGATTAGCGCAAGGTCACAGGTCACTCAGCGAGATGTGACTCCCTGGTAGAATGGGGACAGACGCTGGGGTGCCCAGACCCGAATCCCAGGGGCTGGCCTTTACCACCTGTTCCATACCCCCAGATGATGCCAGCTGGCTGCACGCCGGGCCGCCCCACAACGAGTACATGGAGCAGAGTTTCCAGGGCCTCAGCGGCATCCTGAACCTGCCTCAGCCTGAGCCCGCGGAGGAGGCCGCCCGCCGGCACGCGGAGCTCACAGGCCCGGCACTTGAGGCCTGGACAGATGGGGAGCTGAGTGGCTTCTGGTCTGTGGCCGGACTGTGCACCATGGGCCCCTCCGCCTGCCCGTCCCTGGAGCTCTGCAGACTGACCAGCTGGAGCTCCGTGTTCCCCGACCCCAAATCAGAGCTGGGGCCCGTCAAAGCGGACGGGCGACTCAGGTAGCAGGGCCCCAGCCAGTGCGTCCGGAGGACCCGGGGAATTGCACCTTACAGACAGCAGAGGGGCGAGAACCGGAGGCACACGCAGGCCATGCTAGCCATCCCGAGCCCGCACAGACGGCAGGGAAGGGGGCGTGGTCCTCACTGCCGACGGTTCTGCTGGGGACCAGAGGTGGGCAGGAATGTGGGGAGAAGGGCTCCAGCTTCCACGCCCCGCTCTTCCCCACTTTCCCTTCTAGATTTCTTGTTGTTTTGGGGTTTTTTTGTTTGTTTTTAATGGGTAGTAGAGGGAGGAACTGGAAATGAAAACTGTGCAATAGGGCTCAGAGCAGCCCCAGGAAGTGGGCCATGGCTCTGGGGAGCAGGGCCCTGACGAGCCCATCTGCTGTCGCTCCGGAGGGGACTGGGCCTGCCTCACTCTCCGGGGCCTCGTTCCCCCAGCCTGGGCCTGTGGTGCCTACGGCTGAGGCTCTACGGGGGTGCAAGTGCCGGGCCAGGCTCTCAGGCCCAGAGACCAGGTGATTTGGGGGAGCTCTGCAGAGCTGGACTCTAGCGGGATCGCCTCTCCTCTTGTAGCCAGGGGGCTGTAGAAGAAAGGGGTGGGGCCGGCTCTAGGGCTTTCCAGCATGTCCGGCCCCTCGATGGGCAAGGCAGGGCGTCAGGGCCTGCTGAGACCAATGCAGAGTCTCCCAGGCACCCAGAACTGCACGCCGGGCCTGGGCTCCCGCCCTGGAGGGGCGAGCCGTCGCGAGCAGTGTGGGAAGAAGACTCTTGGCAGGGCTCTCCGAAGAACCTAGAGCAGCATTGTGCCTGAAAGCTCCGTGTGAAGTCTGAAATATGCAACAGAAGAAATATATCTCTATCTCTCTAAGTGGAGCCTCTGTGTCTTTCCTCCTGGGTGTCGGGAAGCCAGCGCTGTTGGTCCTTCTCCCCAGTGTCTTCGCCGGTGTTCTCTGGCAGCCCTGAGAAAGTGGAGGTTTCATTTCCCTCGAGTGGGAACGGTTTAGAACCCAAGAACCAGAAAGGATGCAAGAACCCATCTAAAGCAGCTCCCTCTTTTTCTGAGGGCCAAACAGGCCCAGAGAGGCTTGGACACTTGCTCATTGCCACCCAGGAGGCCAGCGCGAGAGCCAGTTCAGTTCTCGAGGGTCCTGACCCGGCCCTTCCACGGGAAGCTGGTTTGTTTGCCTTTGGCATCACTAGGGCCCATCCCACAAGCCCTCCTCACTCTCCTGCCCCGCTCTGACGTATGGAGCACCTTCCAGAATGGAGGCAGCCCCAGCCCCAGCCTGGTAGTTACCGTTGGAGCTTTAGGGGCAAGAGTAACAGTGGCAGGGGGCCCTGGCCACCGCCCTAGGCCCTGGGAGGGCCTGCTGGAAAGGCTTGTCCCACCTTCCTCCTCTGCAGCCGGGGCTCCGTATCAGCCCTTCACACCTTACTTAATGTGGGAGCGAGGGTTTCTCAGGCCTTTAAAACCCTTCCCTGGGCGGGTCACGCCGGCCTGCTCAGCTCCGCCTGGGGAACAAAGGGCTCCTTCCTGCCTAGACTGCCACATGTCCAGTTTTCCTAGTGGCCAGCAGAGGGCGTCCCTGACCACCAGGAAGGGCGGTGGGGTGGTGCGTTCAGCCCGCGGGTGGACCCTAGGCGCGGCATCTCATTGAATCCTTACAACCCTGTGGGGCAGGCGCTCCTATGATGGGCATCTGGCACATCAGGAAACCGAAATGATGAGCCCGAAGTCACAGCCCTCAGGTGGGGGCAGCAAGCTCCCGAGGAGGGCAGGGGGCCTGCGTGGCGCTCGCAGGTCACCAGCGAGGAGCTGACAGCACCAACTCCCGGGGAACAGTGCTCAGGTGAGGGGCTAGGATGACATTTTTCTGGCCGCTATTTTTGTCAATCTCTGAAACTCTCCCTCCGAGTCTCTAGAATTTTTTTTTTTTTTTTTTTTACATCAACTCTGAGGTCGATGAAAAGAAAAATTTGCTAACCGGGTCCAGCATGTTCCACCCAGGCAGGAATGGTCAGAGCATTCAGACTCTGCTGGCTGAGGACTCGCCGTGCAACTGGCAAGGTTCACCCGGGCTGTCCTTAGGTTAGCACAACAGTTTCCAGAGTCTTTGTTTTTTGACCTCAGCGGGGCATGCGCTCTGTTTCAGCCCTGCCACGCTCAGCGCATCACACCAGGCCCTGGTTACTTATTACTCATGACCGTGCCCTGCCGTGAGCGTTCTGAGTTTGCACGTTTAGCCCAGTGGCTGGGCATCCTGACTGAGGGTTCTGAGTTCATTGGTGTGAGGTGGGAGCCCAGCAAAGGCATGGGTCCAAAGCCCCCCCCCCCTGCCCGCCCCGCCAGGAGATACTAATTTGCAGGGCAGCTCCATCCGCACTTCTCCGGCAGGCCTGGCTTGACCTCCTGAGTTGGAAGCATTGCAGGACCTGGACCAGGCTCCCGGCTCCAGAACTCGTGGCCGGTTCAGAAGGCAGGTTTGGCGGTGGAGGCCCTCCTCCCCCGGCTTCTCCCCTGTGCAAGCCATGGAGGCCAGAGCGAGCGCAGCTTCTCTGCTGCCTTTCTGGAGGGTTAGCTCAGCCTGGAGGTTTGGGCTCTTTGAGGCTTTGAAATCCTCCCCTGGCTGGGCCCCTGGGGTCAAGATCAGGATTCAGGGCAGGCGGGATATGGGGTTGGGGTGGGGGTTGGCTGGGACAGGCTGGACCCCCTAGGCTGCGCAATAATTCCTTTGGAGGGAGGGGAAGAGCCTGGGCAGAGTCTTTTGTATTTTGTGGCCCGCGTGCCCAGTTTCCAGGGCAACCTTGGACACCTCTGTTCCCTTAGAGGCGGGAGCCAGGAGCAGAAGACAGCCAATTGGCATCTTGAGCCCCGTTACCTGGGCCAATGGGAAGTGGCGGGGCAGAGTCGCTGGGAGGTGATCTGGAAGTGGGAAGTGCAGAGGTTTGGGCGAGTTGGAGCCTCCAGGCTGGCCGATGGGTATACCAGACGCTGAGCCCATTCCCGCCAACCTCTTCTGAAAGTCGTAGAGGGACCTTCATGGCCGCCGGGCCCGGAGAGGGGAGTGCCCTCTGTAGGACACGGGATCATGGCACGGCACCGACAAGCTGGCTCTGAATGCGTCGCTCCTCTGGGCCAGGGTTCCTGGGTTGGGGGGTGGCCCTGCTGGCTGTCTTCAAGGTGGCTCAAGGCTGATGCCCTGTCTTGGCACCCCTCTGCCACTGCGGTTCTGCGTGCAGGGATCACCGTGGACAGTAGCCTCCTAGCCATAGCTCTGAGTCCCTGCTGCTGTCCTGAGCCCCGGGGTTGGATCAGATGTACCCTTGACCCTGCGCTGTGGGCCGGAAGTCCAGCCTCTTCATCTGTAGGGTCATCTGGAGCAAACCACTTGGGAAGAACGGTGTGTTTGGCTGGGCCCTTGCCCGCAGAGGTCTGGGAGAGCGGAGAAGGGGCTGAGTCCAGGCCCTGGGGTCCTCCCCGGGCCCCTCAGACCCGTCGCTTCTAAGGGTTCCTAGCCTGCCACAAGTTCCTTCCCCCTCCCCTAAGTTTGTCCCTCTCTAAACTCTTTACACACCTCACTTTCCTGGACTGAAGGGACAGGATAAAGCCACACTGCCCTCCTACGTAAGTCTGCCGCGGGGGGTTGGTGCCACAGCAGAAAGGGAACCGCCCGCACCTCAGTTTCCCCTGCATGTCAGGCTGATGCTAGCTAGACCCGTCAATCCTACCTAACCTTTGGAGTGCGATTCCAACGTGGGGAGGTGAGATGGGCCCATACATGCCAGGTGCGGGCTGGGCCCTTGACTGTGCGTCTGGGGGGAGGGTAGTTTCGTCCCTGGTGTTCATCATGGCCATCCTGCAGCTGCTCCAGTACCAGCGTGAGCCCCAGCGCGGCCAGGCTCCCCGCTCCTGCCTCTTGTTCCAGAGCCCCAGCCAATACGTAAGCACCCCTGCCCAACAACCCTTCCCCTGCTGCCGCCCCCCTTCCCCAGCCCCAGCCAAAGGGCACCTGCTCTCCGGCTCGGGAAGAGCAACTGTTCAGGAAGGAAAGGGCCTTCAGGACCTACTCTCTGGACTCTGTCCCTTCCAGCCTGGGTTCCCTCGGGGCCAGGGCAGCAGTGTGGAAAGGGTTAATAAGGTCCTTGCCAGCGTCCTGCCTGGTGATTGTTATTGTTAATGGGGACCCGGTGCTGGGAGCTGCTGGTGAGGACAATGGTCTTATCCCAGCTCTCCAAGCAGCTGGAGGCTCACCCTCTCCCAGGGAAGAGCCCAGAGCACTGAGCCCAGAGGGAGAGGGGGTGGTGGCTACTGTACCGGCAGGCCTCTCCCCAGGGACGGGACACCATGTGGGAGCCTGGGTACCGAAAGCAAAAGGAATTGTCCG